CCCAGCTACTTGGGAGGCGGAGGCAGGAGACTCTCTAGAGCCCAGGAGTTGGAGGTTGCTGTGAGCTGTGATGCCATGGCACTCTAGCCAGGGGGACAGCTTGAGGCTCTGTCTAAAAAAAAAAGAAATTTCTGAAAGTTTAAGTCATAGAACCTTGGGTAAATGTTGGCAGGCAGTAGGCAAAGTGAAAAGAATATGAGCTTTGAAATTAACAAACCTGGGTGTGAGTTCCAGCCCCACTACTTCCCCATCACTTACTACCTATGTAATCTTGAGCATTTCGCCTCTAAGTGGAGATGGTATTTATTACAGTACCTACTTCACAGGTTTGTTGTGAAGATTGAACAGTATGATTACTATTAAGTACTTAGAATAGCACCTAGTACACAGTAAGTAAGTTTTAGTTGTTACTATTCTTAACTCCAAGTATCTTCTTTTGCAAGATAGTACTTGCTTTGTAAGATTGTCGTGCCTATACCCAGGCATTGTGCTGGGTGCCTTTAGTCCCAACTGCTGGGGAGACTGAGGCAAAAAGACTGATTAAACCCAAGAGTTTGAGGTTGCTATGAGCTTTGATGCCACAGCACTCTAACAAGGGGGACAGAGTGAGACTCTGTCTCAAAAAAAAAAAGAAAAAAAGAGTAAGATTGTTGTGCCTACAACAACTGCATAATATCTGCATAACACACATAGTTGTGTTCAATAAGTATTTACTGAAGCTAGGCATGATGGCACATGCGTAGTCCCAGCTACTCTGAGGCAGGAGGATCACTTGATTCCAAGAAGTCTGAGCAACGTAATGAGACCCCCATCTCTAAATAAATAAATGAATAAACAAGCATGTATTTATTTATTTGAGTATGTGATTAAGTGAGGTAATGCATGGAATGTACAGTCACTTAGTGCCAAAACTAACAAATTATACAATCAGTAAATGTTCTACTTTATGAAAACAGGCACTCCATAAACCTTATGGAGTTTCCTTCTTTCTCTTTCTCTTTTCCTTTTCCTCTTCTCCTTTCCTCTTGGTAACACTGAGAGGTTTTCTGCTGGAAATAAAGATGAGTGGTTTGAATGTGCTCAGCCAGAAATGATGATTCAATTAGCAAATAATCAACTAGACTATTGGCAATACATTCTTGAGATCTAGATTAGGATGTTCTTGGTGTAGACATGATCCTATAGCTGTGGGCAGAAAGGCTATGCATTTGTACAGGAGAAATAGTGTTCCTTTGAGGAAAGAGGACAATGAATTGAGAACTGAGTCTCAAAAACATTGGCATTATGGATTGGAGAAGAGAGCAAAAAAGACAGAAGGAGGGTTTCAGAGGTGATGAGAGAATGAAGATTGAAAGTCAAAAGAGGCAAGGGAAGATTTCAGAAAGACTTGGGAATTAGCAGGATCAAAGGTGCTGGTGTGGACAAGTGCCAGGGTCCCACCCCAGTGGCAGGGTCCTTTAAGACCTGTGGCACCAGCAGCGATCGACTGAGAAAAAATAAAGTTAAAATCGGCAGGACACGCACAGTGGAATTTTCAAAGGTGGGACCCAGGGGACCACCACTGGCTTGTGGGGCTTCAGTGAGTGGCCCTGAGTGCTTGTTCCACCCGCTTTTAATGAGAAAGCTATTTTCTCATTTACCCTAGAGGGTAAGCTGAGGAAGGGAGTAAAAACGTCAGCAGTTTCTATGAGTAAGCATGTTAGTTCTTATTCTATCTATAATCCTTAACTTAACAATCTATAATCAGCAGGGGTATTTGCAAGCTGTATCCCTTATAGACCAGGCTTCCAGTAAAAGCAGAAACTGCTCAGACAAGTAATTTAACTGTTAGTTTAAAAGTAAGGTAACTAAACTGTTTTTATTCTGCCTTGCTCAGCTTATTTTTCTGTTTCTCTCCTTTTCTGGGGGTGTTTTTCCTTGCTTTCTTTGGTCCTCATTCTCCCTGCAGAAAAGGAGAATAATTATGAAGTGGTCATTGTGGTCACTCCAGGGACATTCAAGATGTGCTCCTCACAGAAATGAGTGGCCCTGTCATCAAATGAAGGAGGAGTAGGGTTCTGGACAACAATGATGAACAAACAAACAAAAACAAACAAAAAACACTAGCTGTCCATTGCAGCTACCAAGACTTCTAAATTGTGACAGGAAAATCCTGAGCTTTAGACTTACGCAAGTCTCTTTCCAAGTTCTCTCCCTGGTTTATTTAACACAAATGAGGGCCACCAAGTGAGACTCTGTGAAGTTCCACCATCTTGGGATGACTTCTCTAAGTTACATTTACCCATTGCTTAGGGTATACACACCTTATGTCCCCAAAATTTGATAAAGTAGCCAGACATTAGGGTTTCTGGTCCCAACCATCGGAATTTCCATGTATGGTGGGAGGAAAAAATATTAACTCTCATCTGTCAGTAAGGGTTCCTTATCCAACTTTCTTATAGTTTGCATCCCCCAACTAGGTTGCATTTTATGTTTAGGTAAATGGCTAAAATATTGTAACATGAAAAAAATTTTATTGATAGTCTAGTCTATTCTTGTAATAGATTTTTACCGTACTCCCGAAATAAAGTGTTATGAGAAGTAGAGGCATGGAAGGGCTTCTGCTAAGTTGAGATCAATTTCCCAGCTCCTGTCCATCTCTCCCTATTCACTTCCCATTGGTGGCTTTGCTTTGCTATCTTTCAGGTGGAACACATCCTTGGGACAGCTTTGTATATGCCCTGTCCAGGAAAAAGTGCTGTGATGTGTGGATCGTGCATTTGCTCCTTCAAGTCGTACTCTTTATAAGGCACAGGCAGAAGTCACAGCTGGGATGGAAGATCCTGCACCAGGGGAAGGCCAGGCCCAGCTCCCAAGCCCCCACCAGGGCTCTCTGAGGAAGGCTGTGGCTGCTGCCCTGGCCCTGGATGGGGAATCCACAATGGGTCGCAGGAAAAAGAAGAGGAAAGAGTCCCGTCCAGAATCCATCATCATCTACCGCTCAGAGAATGAGAAAATGGATGAGGAACCTGGGGAACTGGAAGGTGGAGATCGGCCAAAAGAGGAGGAGGGGGATGATTTCCTAGACTATCCTGTGGATGATGGTGAGTCTGTCTAGGGCCACTTCCTTAAAGTCTTTACCTACAGCGATTGATATGTGTCAACGTTTTCATAGCACTTGGTAACTAGACATAG